GGAAGCACTGTCTGACGCGTCTGCCTCCGCGACCCGAAAGGAGAAGCGGCGATGGAAGATGAAGATGATCCAGCGCTTTTTGCAAAGGAACGCGGCCAAGTGGATATGACCGAAATGTGTGTGAATGCGTCTAAAATTAAACACTAGTAATTTCTCGTTCTTCGACTCGGTGTGCTCTTCTGATAAATGGAGAAGCAGTTGAACAGGAGGAGAAGTTAAAGTGCCTTTGGGTCGTGTTTGCTGGTGGTGAGAAAAAAGGAGATAGAGATGCTCGACGAACTGGAATGACCAGCGGTGTTCTGTGTGAATAAAGTAAAGCTAAATCTGAAGAATAAACTCTCGGTGTTCAAACTGATCCTCATCCTGAATCTCACCTCCGGTCATGTGTCATTAAATCTTTAATCATGACTGAAAACTTCGAAGCCCGGTATGGGATAAAATAGTCTTTCTGCGACGAATCGCTGGCTTTAAGCGTCTTGTCATCGTCAGAAATACAAATATCCGTGAGAGCCCTGGTTCATAGCCGCTGCTTCTCCGATGTGATGAGTCACAGAAGAAATGGTGTTTGCGCGTCTTGCAAACACTTGCCCGACCGACAGTGGGACTGACTGACTGATATACTTACGTGTTTCTTAGTCTGCAATTAGTCACTTGGAGATTGCTCTGCGCATAAGGACGAGATGTACCCCTGCCTCAAAGAATAACTCTATGCTCCATTGATAATACAAGGGATGACACAACAAAGTTGTATCAACTAATGGCTCTTCTATAAAACTTTCATTTACGATCAACTCGCTCTTATATACATTCAATTCGAACGTTAGAGCCAATGCTCATTCACAACCAGCACGTTTCCCAACTGTCATTCTCATGCCTGGGCATTTCTTTCGACCATATCGATAGATTGCGAGCTGATGATATTAATGCCAGGGCCGTGCTATGCATCTCGGGGGAACTACTTGCTGGTACCTGTCAGACGGCCATTCTATGCTGTTCAGTTTACGATTTTGCAGACGTTCTGTCATGGTACGTTCATGCCATTGATCATGCGATGATGATACCATGTATGCTGTAATTGCTGACCGATCACGTCTGTCTCCGGGAATTACGATGGAAAAGTTTACGATAAAGTTGTGCAATCAATCATTATTGCAAAACCTGCACGCTCATAGGCTGGCACTGGGAGTGCACAATGATCGAAAGCTTTCCGTCTCAAGCACAAGGGCAGTTTCACTTATAAAAACATTTTCAGTCATCTAAAGTAATCCGTGCCATATTTATTCTTCTTTTGATTACAAATGTAAAATTCCCCCTTCCAAAGATGAGGTGTCCATGAACTCAGTTTTACACTTTTCCCAACTGATCAATTGAATTTAGCAAGTGGCGGGGTCACGTATCACGTCTTTGCTCAGCATGGCCTAAATTTTTTCAAGTTCTGTTTCATTTCTAGTTTGATGCTGACGTTGTTCAGCTCTCAGATTATTTTTCAGAGTTAATATGGTGATCTAGAAAGGATCAGACTCTTGCCCACAACCGCAAATAACTTAAATGGCGCCGGTGATTTTTTCAACGGAATGTTCTGAAAACTATTCTAGGACTGTCGTTCGACTCACATAGGCAAAGTTTTCATTTTTATTTTTTTACTTATGACACCAGCACTAGGTTGTAGCGACACAATCACAGGCAAAACCGAATATCCTTTTACGAGTTCATGCATTCCTCCATGCTAATGCATTCATGCTTATCATTATAAATGTATCCTTCCTTGCAGACACACCGGGATGCGCACCTTAGACTACAGAAGCGAAACTGTTTTGACTTTTGCTGGGCGCATGTTGGAGGACAGAAATTTCCGCACGTAGTCCACACCTCATTTTCTTTGCAACTCTCTTTTCCCGCCTTCAGTTCGTTTTCGACTTCATTTGCACCTGAAATACATTTTTTATTCAAAGTTCATAACTTCAAGCGCAAAATAAAGCAGAATAATTTATGAAAAACTTCAAAGTCAGCTGCCGTTATCGTATGGAACTGTTACTTTGTCATTTTTGGCAAAGGAGACACCATGCTGA